CGAACGATCTTGCTCTCAACTATTAATTTCTAATTTCAGACTTATTTTATATATGTAGTTTAAAGATGTGTGGGACTAATTTTAGTCTAGGTCTTGGCGAAGGAAAACAAAACTTGAAGGTTTGTCGGCAGCAGATTGACACCATAAGAAAAAATTTGCTGAAACCGATACCATGGGAAAGAGAAGTTGCTAAGACCAAGAGTAAAACCATGAGAAAAAGTTTCCAAGATCGAGATCGAAATTTGAAAGTTTGTTAGAGCTAGAATAGAGTCGGAACTTCGATAAAAACACTTTACCGTGACTGTTAGCGGGATCAGGACTAGAGCAGATTTATTGGGACTCTGATAGAGACCGGTGTAAAAAAGTTACCGAGACCAAAACAATCTTGGTCTTACACGTCTATATTTACAGACAAAATACGTCTACAAAACCAGAATAAAATGAAGAGTTAAATGGTAAACTGTTTGTATATCAATGTCGTTCAGAAAGAAAATCAAGACTAAGAATAAGTTCGTTTTTCTTACAGTAGACAAATACAAAAAATAATATCGCTAAATACAATAATAAAATTAATAAATTGTTTACTGAAATAGCTCTCATATATCACTAATCAATTTACAAAATTGAATCTTTTTCTCAATCCTCTACTTTTTTCATATTTAATAAATAAATGTCACTTACTATCTAACAGAGATAAATATTATCTAAAACAAAATCAATAGAGAGAAGTTTTTCTTTTCTCTAATGATAATCTAATCTTCGATTTTCAATAATCAGCAAACCTAAATAATGAACAGATAAAATTAACGGATTCAAATGAATTTATACCTTCAATTTTATCTAAGAAAAAGAAAGAACGCTTTTAACGGTCAATTCATTCTATTATCTGTCGTTATGGAGCTATCGTACGTAACGTAGGGTGACATCTTCTTTTCTTAAATATAATTGGTGAACTAAATCTACATCTGTATTATTGCAAAAGTCTTTTTTAGTAAACAACATTTGGAAAAAAATTTTTCATTGTATATTATTTCATTTATTGATGGACATTGTTTATATTATTCTATATAAATAAAACTATTTGAATGAGCTCTCGTAAACAACGTGTTGATATTGGTTCTTCATCACCTTCAAGTTCGTCAAATAAACCAAGAAAACGTCGTTTTGACGATTCTGCTGAAACTGATTATTTTAATAATAGTAATAGATCAAGAGATTATAATAATATGTCACAAACAAATACAACAGTCAATCGTTTTACATTACAAAATTATTCACAGCAATATTTTGAATTACTTAAAAAACGACGACAATTACCTGTTTGGGAATATAAAGAAGCATTTATAGCAGCACTTGAAAAAAATCAAGTTACTGTACTTGTTGGTGAAACTGGTTCAGGTAAAACAACACAAATTCCACAATGGTGTGTTGATTTTGCACTTGCTTTACCTATTCAAAGTGGACAAAAACGTCGTGGTGTAGCATGTACACAACCACGTCGTGTTGCTGCTATGTCTGTTGCACAACGTGTTGCAAATGAAATGGATGTTGTACTTGGACAAGAAGTTGGTTATTCAATTCGATTTGAAGACTGTTCATCACCAAAAACAATATTAAAATATATGACTGATGGTATGTTATTACGTGAAGCTATGTCTGATCCATTACTGGAATCCTATTCGTGTGTGTTATTGGATGAAGCACATGAACGTACATTAGCAACAGATATTTTAATGGGTCTTTTAAAAGAAGTAGCTAAACAACGAGCAGATTTAAAAATTATTGGTAAGTTAATAAATAAAAAACAAGTTTTTTTTGTTATATTTTCTCAAATATAACATTTTCTCTTTATTAGTTATGTCAGCTACACTTGATGCTGGAAAATTTCAAGATTATTTTGATAAAGCACCATTATTAACTATACCTGGTCGAACATTTCCTGTTGAAATTTTTTATACACCTGAACCAGAACGTGATTATTTAGAAGCAGCTATACGTACTACAATACAAATTCATATGAGTGAAGAACAAGAAGGTAAGTTATTATATTTATGTTTCAAATTAATTAAAAAACAACTATAAAAAATCTTTTTCTTTTGTTTTCTAAGGTGATATTCTTCTTTTCTTGACTGGACAAGAAGAAATTGAAGATGCATGTAAACGTCTTCAACGTGAAGTTGAAGGTTTAGGACCTGAAGCCGGTGAAGTTAAATGTATTCCACTTTATTCAACATTACCACCTAATTTACAACAACGTATATTTGAACCAGCACCACCAAATAAACCAAATGGTGCTATTGGACGTAAAGTTGTTGTTTCAACAAATATAGCTGAAACATCATTAACTATTGATGGTGTTGTTTTTGTTATTGATCCCGGTTTTTCGAAACAAAAAGTTTATAATCCACGTATACGTGTTGAGTCACTTCTTGTTACACCAATATCAAAAGCTAGTGCACAACAACGAGCTGGCCGAGCTGGACGTACACGCCCAGGCAAATGTTTTCGTCTTTATACTGGTAAGAAAAAAAATAAACTCTAAGTGCTTTGATCTTAAATTCAGGTTAAGAAATGGTTTTGTGTAATCACTTTTCTCCGAAAACGATTTTTTATTATTTTACTACCATACTTAGATATTTGCTAGAAAATACTATAAACTATATAATGATATAATATGACTAATAGATCATCAGAATGAACTTATGCAAAAGTGGAAAGAAAATATGGGTGCAAAAAAGTAACATAGGCTTTGCAAGTATATTATAATGGGTGATCGGAAAGTTTTTAGATAACATGTTCGTTCACCTTTGATCTGTTAGAAAGTATTTCCGATGAATTAGGACCAGAATTTGGTGCTCGTTTCGAAAAAAAGGAGTTAAAGATTTTGTCTTCGTGTTTGTTCGAGATTAGTGGCATTGTCTTGCAGAAGTTCAACAAATTAATTTGTTCATTTTGACCTGCTTAAAAGCATTTCAGACGAACTGAAAACTATAGATCGCCACCAGAATTTGAATATAGGCTTAGAAATGATGCGTTCAATTTTGTTCAAAAGTAGTGAGACACTTTTTGAAAACCCTGAAAATTATTTTTTAATAATGACCCAATAAGTTTTTGTTTACCCTATAAGTCCGTTTTCGAACATGCTGAAAATTGTCGAAGTCGAAGCCTTTTTCAAATGCTCCTTTCAACATAAAACAGTTGACAAAAATTTCTAAGTCTAATAACACATAATAAATATATTTTATTCCATAAAAAAAAATACAAAACAGCAAAAAAATATCACAATTTCAATCTGAATTTGAAATCAAAGGATTATAATGTTTTTTTCTTCCGCGTATCAATCTTGATTTTTTGATTTTTTAGAAAAAGCATATAAAAGTGAAATGCATGAAAACACATATCCAGAAATTCTTCGATCAAATTTAGGCAGTGTTGTGTTACAATTAAAAAAATTAGGTATTGATGATCTTGTTCATTTTGATTTTATGGATCCACCAGCGCCTGAAACATTAATGCGTGCGTTGGAATTATTAAATTATTTAGCTGCTATTGATGATGAAGGTGATCTTACGGAATTAGGTTCAATGATGGCTGAATTTCCACTTGATCCACAATTAGCCAAAATGGTTATAGCATCATGTGATTATTCATGTTCAAATGAAATTTTATCATTAACAGCTATGCTTTCTGTACCACAATGTTTCGTACGACCAAATGATGTACGTAAACAAGCTGATGAAGCTAAAGCACGTTTTGCTCATATTGATGGTGATCATTTAACAATGTTAAATGTTTATCATGCATTTAAACAAAATCATGAAGATAATCATTGGTGTTATGAAAATTTTGTTAATTATCGTTCATTAAAATCAGCTGATAATGTTCGAACACAACTTGGACGTATTATGGATCGGTAAATAAAAGCAAAAACAAAAAAAAAAGAAAGACAAATATAAGTTTTTTGATAACAGAATTTATGTAGACTTCAGAGTTCTCGATTAAGGTAAGGGGACGGAGAAGTTTTCCTCTCAAAATGTCAGACTTTCTGCTAATTTTTTATAGCTTCGTAGTAAATTTGGACAGAAACTGGATTTTGAAACATCATTTGCCTTTTTCTGGCAGAAAATGAAATAAAAATAAGCAGGCAGTCTGGTGACAGGTCAGCTGTTGTGAGAGGGTTAAATTACGGTGCGTTCTGTCTTCGCCTCCATCCCCCTTCGTCAGGTGCTACGGCGTGCGATTGGTAAATCACTAGATGGTGTCATCTTCGTTGGGTTTTACGACGGTCGTTGTGAAGGTGGCGCCACCTATTGATATGTCAACGGTACGTAGTAGAACCTGTTGTTATATTCATCACTGGATAGAAGAAGTCAATTTCTACAAGTCTACATGTATCTCGTTCTGTAATCAAAGTCATAAAGTCACCTTTTTTTTAAAATTCATATTAAATTTATAAATTTTACTTAGATTTAATCTTAAGCGTTCATCAACAGAATTCACATCACCAGATTATTATATAAATATACGTAAAGCATTAATTAGTGGATTTTTTATGCAAGTAGCACATTTAGAAAAAACTGGACATTATTTAACAATAAAAGATAATCAAATTGTTCAATTACATCCTTCAACTGTGCTTGATCATAAGCCTGAATGGGTTTTATATAATGAATTTGTATTAACAACTAAAAATTATATACGTACTGTAACAGACATTAAACCAGAATGGTTATTAACAATAGCACCACAATATTATGAATTATCATCATTACCTGATGGTGAAGCTAAGCGACAATTAATCCACTTATATCAAAGAATGGAAAATAAACGAAATACCCAACAAAGAACATAATACTAAAAAAAAAATGTTTTCTTTTTTTGTTTTTTATTGTTAAACAGGATGGATGATGATCTATTCTCATTCGTATTGGTTTTTTTTTTTTTTGTCAATTTTTCTTTATTGTCAACTGTCTTTGCTGTTTTTTAGATTATGATTAAAAATGACATTAAAATCTAACTGGAATATTTTATCTGATGATGATAATTCTCAACAAAGTTTTTTCTCTGATTGTGATTCTGAATTTGATCTTAGTCCACAAGTTCGATATTCATTCGAAACACCAATGACAAGATCGAGAAGTAAAACTATTGGAAACACATTGATTATTCCTCCAACACCATCTAAAGAACAATGTCAATCAATAATTCAGCATAGTATTAATTCACTTGCTAATATGACAACAACATTAACAAATTCAATTCTATTTTCAAAAAAAGATTTATCAAATAATCGATTTCAAAATTCTACAATTGATGGTATTAATACATTGACTGATTGGTTTGAAAGTTGTAGTTTAAATGAAAGTAAATATAAAAATTCTTTTGGGTCAAATCATAAAACAGATAATTATAATAAACATTCAAATAAATCACCGTCATCAAATGTTACATATGATTCAAATCCATTTTCAAAATTAAAAACTTCATCTTTATTTGATGAACAACAAACACAATTATGGTCTCGTTTTCATTTTACTACTTCAACAATTCAAAATAATTTATCAATTGAACAATACAATTCAACATCGTCAGATATATTTATTTCTCCAAATAAAAATTTTTCTAATCATTCTTCACCTTCACAAATTGTACCATGTTTATTAACGAAAACTTCATCATTAGTTAATCAAGAAACATTATCTCCACTAATAAGACAATGTCAAATAATAGATTCTGAATTTTCAAACAAAGAAGAAGAAGAGGATATTGTTATTCAACAATCATCGTCAAAAATCTTCTTTATTTTAATAATATTTGTCGTTGGTCTTGTGTTTGGTTATTTACTTACAAATATATTTTCATCTAATATTATTCGCGATGGGTTTTTTGTTATTTGGGAGGAATGTATTCAAATAACTATAAAATATTTCTCTTTATTATATATTTACCTTCAAACACTTATGAAGTACTTTTCATCATTTCTGTCAGTTTAAATCATCTCATCAATGCTGGGTTTTTTTCTAGTTTATTTGTTGTATGATTAAGTTAAAACTGCGTACAGTGATATCTAATTGTTATTGTTTTTCTTTTTTCCTTGTTGTTAAAAATTATCGATATAAAATTAGACAAAAATGACCGATTAAAATTTGAATAAAACGTATTTATGAAAATTATGATAAGAAAAATAAAACATCATTTTCAGAAAGAATATTATGAGTTCAATTGAACAACTTGAAACGCTTCGAAATGCTGAACTATATGATGATTGTAAAACATTGGTAATGTATATATATATACCTAGATTATTAATTTTAATCAACCATATTATTAATTTTGTAGGCAGAATTTATCTTAACACTTGATGAATGTGGAAAAGATTATTTAAGTAATGAACAACGTTTAACTGTTTATCGTTGTTTGGCTGATTCAACTTGGTTTCTACATGAATACCATTTGGCTGAATCTTATTTTAAAAAAGTATTACACAGTTATAAACAAGTGGATAAATATGATAAAAATGCGGTAAATATACCACTATCTTTAAGTATTTTATAATTTCTAACAAATATATATATATATATATTTAGTTGGAACCTGATTGGATGATAGAATGTAAATATCGTCAACATGTATGTTTGCTTAAATTAAATCGATTAAAAGAAGCTCTTACTGTTGTAAGTCAAGATTTAAATATTAAATTAGTTTAGAAAAAAATCTAATGATTTAGCTTGAATCAATTCTAATTCAACAACGTACAGCAAAAATTCATTTAGCACTTGGTCAATGTTATCAAAAAGCTGGTGGTTCAGCACAAGAATCTATCAGTGCTTATCGTGAATGTTTAAAACAAAATCCTAATACATTATCTGCTTACATCGCTTTACTTGCTCTTGGTATTAAATTAAGTGATCTTTTGCATACACATCCATCAGCTGCATCAATACATCATGAAAATCAAGCTCAACAGCCAACACCTGTAACAATATCACCATTAGTACGTCAACCATGGTTCCGTGCATTATTACAAGCTGATTCTTGTTCAACTAGTCGAGATTTTGCTGAAGCCTCAAGAAATTATCAACAAATCGATGCACAATATTTACCACAATCAACATATGTTTTATGTCAACTTGGTTATAATCAATATTTAAATGGTGATTATGGACAAGCATTACATAGTTTACAACGAGCACAACAAATTGATCCATTATTATTAAAACATATGGATATACTTGCATTTCTTACATATACAGAATGTAAAGATAATTCATTAGAAAAGTAAGAAAAAAATAATATTTCAATTGAAATTATAAAAACAATTTTTGTTCTATTTAGATTAGTTAACCATTTAATGTCACTTGGTGATCATCATCCTGAAACATGGATTGCTATTGGATATTATTGTTTAAAAAAAAATCATAAACCATCACGTACAGTTTATCTTGCACAAAAAGCTTATGCATTAGATAATACAAGAATTCAAGCATTGTTACTTAAAGGTCTTGCATTATTTAAATTAAAACGATATTCAGATTCACTTGTTCATTATAAAGAAGCTGTACGTTTAACACCGTATTGTTTCGAAGGATATAAAGGTGTTGTTGACGGTTATTTAGCAACAAATAGATTAAGTGATGCTAGTATGTTGATGTAGAAAATACAAAACAAAAAAGATTTAAGATAATATTTTTATTTAGATATGTTTATTACAAATGCTGTTCGAACAAATTTAAAAGAAAATGTTCGGGCATTTACATTATGTGGACAAGTTCTTGCAAAAGAACCATCATCATTAGATAAAGCTCGTGTTTATTTAGAAAAAGCACTTGTACTTAATGCAAAATATACTGATGCAGTTATTTCTCTTGTTGAAGTTTATGGACAATTAAAGCAACAACAAAAAAGTATAGAATTGTAAGTTAAGTTTTAATAGTTTATTTAAAGCTTGTCCGAGAATAAATCGCACTAAATCTTATTGCCTTTGTCTCTTGTTTTCTGAGCATAAAAGATTTTCTTTACCGACTTTGTTGTTCCAAACAAATTTTAATTTGTTGACATTAAGGTTAAAAGACTCAACATCTACTCAGTCATTCAACTGTGATTTTCCAGTCTCTATGACTTTCGCAAAATTCTAGAGGCTGGCGTTTACGAGAAAAATAACGAGTGAATTTCAACAAAACAAGCAAAAAACAGAGCGTCCGTAAAAGTCAGAAAACATTTCTGATTGAAATGCACAAATATATAAGACGAATCGCTTCTCTGAAGATCGATTATCTTGGAAAGCAGTTACAGTCTGTGACAAACTACTGACTTTATGTATCGTGTATTAGTACAATGAGACTAAAGAATATATGTGAGTTCCATATTTCAGCCCCAAGAGGGCTGTGTTGACAAGCTTTTTTTGAGTACTCTTTGGAAAATCATGTTTTCAAAAGACAATATTGCTCAATGAAAGAATTATCATTATGCTATTACATGTAGAACTTGATTTTGAACAAAACTCTGTAAAGATTATGGTCATAATTCTTTTGTTTTCTTGACCATCGTAGTTGAACGATTAAGTAGGAGTTCTTTCTCTAAATTTTACACCGACAAGAGAAAGTTATTTGAGAAACAAAGTCGACAGTTTTGATAGAGCTTGAAATTCTCTGTCTTTAGACATAAGATGAAATTTTTTTCATGATTAAGAAACAAGAGAGAAATATACTGAGATTAGTACAATTTCTCCTGGAACATCAGTTAGAACCTACGAAAATTAGCGATTTTGGCAGATAAAATCTCACAGAGAAGAGTTAATCAAGTTTTTCTTTTAACAAATATTGGAGATAGTAGCCATGTTTAATCGCCCATAGTGAATTTGCTTGAAAATATTCGTTGAAGCTATTTTTCAAATAATCTTTGGTTTAAAAAGTTCATTATCTCGGCTACAGCATCCCATTTAGTGATTAGAAGCCGTTTGATTGGTGAAGTTTATCAATTAGATCGAGTATCTCAAAAATAGGTAGTAGTTTATTTATAGAAAAAAAAAGCGGATATAAAATAATAATGATACTTTGTGATGCAGGATAGTAATAGTATTTTTATGAAAATATAGTTGGATATTGTCATAATGACTTTCGATGCCTTAAATACTAGCCGATAATCTTTATCTTCTCATTCGATCAATAATTAGTTTTACGGAATTATTAATATACTATTGGTGATTAGAAACCACCCTTCTTTCCACATATGCCAATTTTTTTAAAGAGTATTTGACATGTTGTTTTTGGAAAAGACACGAAACATTTTCTTTTGAGGCTAAATTATTGCGTTCAACTATAATTGATGGAGATTATTACCTTATCTGTTTGCTGTAATCAAGATGATGAATTTTTTAATCGTAGATTATTTGAAAAATATTTTCAACAAAGATCTTGGAACAAATCTTGATTAACTTTTCCTAGGAGATTTCATCTGTCAAAACCATTATTTTTGGTATGCTGTGAGTATATAGATAATAGCTCGTAGGAAGTGGATGTGGATGTGGATGTTCTATCCCTTATACCCACACCCACATCCTTCAAGTAAAAACTTTTTTTGGCGTTTATTTTATATCATTTGATAGAGCGAGAGCTACTAATCACGAAAATCTACTTTTTAGCCTCAGTAAACGCTTCCTTCCGATCAAAAAATATGAAAAACTCGAAGGGTGTCGTTTTTCAACAAAAACACATCTTTCTCAAAATGTGCAAAATTTTCTATTTTTTTCAGATTCAGCATAAAAACTGAATACAAACAAGTTGTTACATCGATTCTAGCCCCCAAAACTCTATTAATGGTGATGCTTCGAATCGCGTCGAGTGCACTACGTATAGGTTGATTTTGTAAACCTATCTAGTTTTTCTATGTAAACGACGGGGTAAAATATTTTATCTCATTCAACTCATCATACCACTAATCACAAAAGTACGCATCGCGTTTGTTTTCTTTTCTTTCCTATATGGAGACAAACCTGTTTTTTTGAATTAAGGGCTAAATAAATAGAATTTGGTCCATATCTTTCCATTTTCTTCATAAAAACTAAATAGATTGGTGTATATTTGGAAAAATCTTCTTACCACCTTTCATTTTTTCGTGAAAATTTCAGTCAGGTGTTCATGTGAAAACTGGACAAAAACTGGAGTCAATGAAAAATGTTAAATCATATATCAATCTATTGATTTTTCGCGCTGATTCAGAATATGATAAGATTACTGCACAGAAGCTTAATTCTTATGAACAAAATGGAGAAACACAGACTAAATTCTATTTATTTACTCCAAAATCTAAAGAAAAACAGGTTTTNCGCTTAGAAGTAATACAGGATAGAAAATAGACATTGTAATTTGATGAGCATTGATTTCTGTTGTGAAAATTGTTGAAATAACTAACCCTTTAAAAAATGTACATACTATTAATACATAGTTAATTTAATCTACGGCGTGAAATCTAATCAAATTATTCTTAGTCAAATGATAATACATCTACTGATACTTGTTATTCAAATAGTAATTGTTTTATTTACTTCATTATATATTTTCGAGGTTAGAATTAGTTTTGTTTTATTTTATAATAAAAATGAATTTTTTTTGTTAGATTCCATTAAGAGGTAGTTTATTATATACATCATTAATTTGCATGATACAAGGTTTTTGTGGTATGACATTTGGTAAGATAAACAATAAAACCTATGGCGTGAAAGTCTTGACAAAAAATATTCACTAATTTTTAGGCTACTTAAAACAGTGATTTTTTTTTATTAATGCGAATTTCCATAGAAACGAACTCTTTAATGAAAAGGTAGATAAGATTTCACTTATTGTCATATCTTATTTTGTACAGAATTCAATGTTTATATTGAGTTGAAGAAACTACACAGACTAAGGACTGCGCTAAAACCGGTGTTACGCTTTATACAGATACAGTTTTCAACTTTTTCACAACATTTAACTAAGTGTTGTTCAATCTTATCTCATATGAAAAATTCAAACATATATTTGGAAATAGTGAAAAATTCTAATTCTGTCTATAACCAGCTGTCTTTTAGTGACTGAGAAATAACCAAATATTTTATGCCAAGACTTTCACGCTGTAGATTAAATTAACTATGTATTAATAGTATGTACATTTTTTAAAGGGTTAGTTATTTCAACAATTTTCACAACAGAAATCAATGCTCATCAAATTACAATGTCTATTTTCTATCCTGTATTACTTCTAAGCGGTAATAATTAACATTGAGATGGTGGAGAAAAACAAAATAAATAAATGATTACTTATTTTTAGGTATTGTATGGCCACTCGAAGGACAACCGATATGGCTGCGAACCATATCAAAATGGTTACCAATGACAAAAGCTATTGATGCTATGCGTGGCATACTTTTAAAAGGTGAGATGATATTGAATCATTTATTAATGATTTCATATTTTTGTGTCTAGGATGGTGTATTAAGCATTTACTTGTACAACAAGCGTTTATGGTTACATTTATTTGGTCTATGGGTTTTCTCATCTTAGCACTTATTATTTTTAACTGTCGTCGTGTATAATATATACGAAATTTAATTTGGTTTTGAATCTTTTATTTTATTTTAAGATAAACAGAGTATAAACTAACACCCTATTATATGCTAATTTTCATTTAACCTTAATTACCAAAATGAATAGTATGTGGAATTTAGCAAGCATTAAACTTTTTTGTGATTACGATTTTCATAATGTTTTAAAATTTTTTTATTTAAAAACCGATAAAATATATATTTTATTTAAAAGTTTGAAAATGTTCTTTTACTAATACAAGTTTTCAATAAATATATTCTTCTCTTTTTTTATGATAGACGTATCTTACTCATATTTGTTGACCAAAAAGGAAATTTAACTTTAGTAAATATGATAATTTCATTGATATTGTATCGAAGAAATCATTTTTATAGTTTCTTTGTTCTTCGCGGAAAATCAGATCGGCGTAATTGAATTATTTGCATTTCGTTGATGTGACTATAGGCGATTTTCATTTTGATCATATTCATTTCGCTAAGCTTTCTTTTGAGAAATGTTCGTTTTGACGATGAGGTACACAAGCCAACTTTTATATATGAGTAGATTTAAAACAAGTTGTAGATTAATATTATCCTGACGGCAATAAAATCGTACAAACATTCAGCAATAAACTCAAGCGATTATTTCGAAAGAATTTATTTTAAACTAAATTTTTGATAATCAATTATATTTAAATTTCTACAAAAAATTGATTAACAATTGTTTTAGCTCTATGGTCATTTATTAATTAGCATAACATAATGTATTCACATAATTAAATAGAAATTTATTTGTTTATTTTTATATTTGTTACTGCGTTATTTGTAAAAAGCCACTCTATTGAACAATTACGATTTATCATTATTATAATCATTTTTTATTTCAATTGATGCATCAGCTGTCCAATCATATGTACCAAGATCTCGTTCTTTTACAGCTGTTTTCCATCCTATATTCTCTGATCGACGCTTAAATGCAACACCTTCTGGAGAATGACGTGAAATACCATCGAATATTGTAGCAAACATTTGCGTTGTTTTTAAACCCATATTTTCGAATGCTTGATTAATCATTAATTTTTGCATAGCAAGTTGATTTATTGGTACGGTAGCCATTCGTTGAGCTAATTTTTCAACTTCAGTATTTAATTGTTCTTGTGGAACAGATTTTAATACAAGTCCAAGTTTTTCAGCTTCAATTCCAGTAATTTTATCACCAGTTAATAACATTCTTTTAGCTTTTTCAATACCAAGTCTAAAATATGATTTTCAATTATATACAAAAAACACTAAACTCTTTATTATTATTATTATTTACTTATAAACCCACATAGCTGTTGTTGGACAACCCCAAACTCTAGCTGGCATGTAACCAATACGTGCTTCATTAGCCATTAATATAATATCACAACATAAAGCAATGTCACTACCACCAGCTAAAGCATCACCATGTATTTTGCAAATTGTTGGTTTAAGTGAATAAAATAGAGACATAAAATATTCCGTATTTTTTTTCATAAATTGATAATCTTTTATAGGATCCCATGGCATGTCTTGTATAGCCTTATTATTTTTATTTTTATTTTGTGCATAATGAGTTAAATCATATCCTGAACAAAATGCTTTACCAGCACCAGTTAATAGAATGACATGTACAGATGGATCATCATTTGCTTTTTCTACACATTCAGATAGTTCTTTAGGCATTATATCATTAATAGAATTTAAAACTTCTGGTCGATTTAAAGTAATATAAGCTAATCGATTATTGACTTCATAATTAATTGTTGAAAATGTCTTATATTGATGATGATTTATATTTGATTGTGTAGAAATAGTTAATAATAATCGAGATAAATAGTTAGATGTAACTGATGTTATATGACTTTTATTAGTTAAATTTGGTAATTTTGAATAAAATGGTAATTTAGTCAAAAATATAGACATTATTCAATAAGATGGGAAATTAAAAGATTTGTTTTTTTTTTCAATGAAAACTTAATAATCTAAAATATTTATCCATTACAAAGGAGTATCTACTTGAATAAGAAAAAAACATAATCACGCTTTTTAGATATCAAGCTAGTAGACATAGTATTATTAATAATTTTTATGAATTATGATAACTCAGAATTTTAAATATTATGATGCATCTTAAATAGTAGCCGATATTTTCCATTTGACCATTATCCTGTTTCGACGGCAACATGGGTTATTTACTTGGTGAAAAAGAGTATCCTATTTTATCCATAGTGTTTTCATACATCCAAATCTTTTATTACTCAAAGTATTCAAATTATTCTATCAGTGTCTTTCCATAGTAATATTATATAAATTGTTACATCTGATCAATAACGCTCAAATACCTGTTAATGAATGATCGAATTGTCATTTTTCACAGCAAAAAAAAACTGTATAAAAAAGATTAGATCAATTTTGATATCATTTATTAAACCTAGTAGCTATTTTATTCGTATTATTTGGTCACTTGAATCATATAAAAGTTGGACAACTCTAAAATACAGTAGTGATATGATATTTCATGGACAAACCAATTATAAAAGAGTATAATAGAGTAAAAAAGATGATGTGCCTGTATGCCAACGACATAGTAAATAATTATAAAAAAACAAAAATTAAAACGAATATAACAGGAAGACACAAGTATTTCTTAATTATACAAGACAATCGGTTCTAATAATCTTCAATTTAAAACAAATAAATGCAATACAAGATTGCATTTTCTATTCTATCGTGTCGTTGAACAGACTGCTAGATAGAGCAAGAACACTTGATAGGTATTGATCATTGCCTTTATTAGTTTGCTAGTTTCCAGTTTGGAAAGAACTCACAGAAGAAAACATTCAGATTTGGATATACAATAGTGGACAAAAGTCTCCACCTCACCGTGTTTCGGCTAATATACGTGCTGCAGTTCTAAGAAGGAGATGTGTAAAATTACGGAGCTAACGTCCCAAAAAATCTGAACCTAATTTCATTATCCTGACAACCAGCAGTCATCTCTATTTCTCGTAAATTTATTTTATACTTTATCATAATTCATTTTTTCATATCTGAAGTTCCCCTCAGAAATCGAAAAAAAAACTTTTTATTCTCACTTTAGTAGAAACGCTTTTAGTTCGATAGAGTTCAGTGTGCTGATTAAAAATTGAACATTTGTTTTTAAAGTAAGTCGAATAATAACAAGCATCTATATTACTTTTTGAGAGCTCTCAAAATCAATTTTTGACCTGAAAGTTCATCAAAAATCAAATTTAGATTTGACACAACTAAGCTCATATGGCACAGAAGTTTTTTTGTCCATTAGAATGTATAAGAACTTCTGAGGTATCTAAATATTTTTTTTATCGATAAATGGTAAATCTCTAACCTTTATTTTAGAGGACGAGTTTTGATCTTTTAGACTAATATTAGATGGTGTTCGAACTATATAATTCCTGTTTGGGTTCAAACAAATATTATGTTTAGAATCAGCACAAAAAAACCAAGCCAACCTGCGTGTATTTTAAAATGTTTTTGCGACTTTTTTTCGGTCAAATTTTGACCAGTGATCACCCCCAAAGATATGTCGGAAAATGAATTTTAACAAAAAGTCGTTTTGACAGTAGGAAAGAAGATCTGGGTTTGTAAAATACTATTTGAAAACAAAAACAGAGGTGACTTAATAATAAAATAGTTGTTTATATTAGATTCATTTTTTTGACATATTCTTGAGAGAAATCAGAAGTCAAAATTTAGCAGAAAAAAGTCGTAGAAACAAATTGAAACATAAATAGATCGACTTCGTTGTTGATGCTAATTTCAAATATAATATTTATTTGACGTAAAACAGAGATCATTTTGCTCGAAAACCATGGAATATGAGTCAAAATGAACACACAATAGGTCTCAAGAATAGTGATTAGAGTAAAAGTACTTTCCTAGACATTAAATTTCAAGTTGAAAATAGTTTCATTACAAAAGAGCATATCGTGTTACGTAAACTAAAATATATGAAAATCCATAAAAGTCTTCATTGCTTCCAAAATAATCATGCAACAATGATTAAAAATCTTATTAACTACTTAGTCAATCAATTCATCGTTTTATCTAACGAATTTCCTTTTTCTCATAAACGTTAATTTCAATCAATTTTACAGGTTACTCAACTATTTGTCACTTTTATACTCAAGAATTTAAGAAAAAATTTCAATAATTCTAACTTGACTTGTGACTTGAAAAGTGCTGACTGCTGCGTCTATAGCATGCAGTTCATATTGTGTACAGCATCATCAAGAAGTCTCCAAAGTTGAGGACCAACGATTGCTGAATCGATGCACTGTTGATCTTTGTGATTTCTTTATAAAGGAAATTGAGTTTATAGGAATTTAGTTGTAATTTTTTGAAATTTCTCAATTTATTTGTTTAAATCCAGACTGACAAAATCTTTAATAAAATGAGAACATTCTTCATATTTCGTGACTAAAATGGCGAATTTAACACACTAATATTTTACTAGTAACTTATTATTTATGTATAATATTGAAATTTTAGCTTTCAAAATAGCATACACATAGCTTGCATGCTCTGCAGATCGATAATTATGTAATCAACGGTTCAATCTATAAATGTCCGAAGAAAATGCAACGAGAACTATGATTGAAATGAATCAATTTGTTTTTTTTTTGCCTTCCAAGTTTATCATTAAAAAATAATATCATGTTTCCTTTCCTTCTGATGTACCCATATATCATATAATGTTCTACGTAAAAATGAACAACAAATCTATTAGTGTTAAGGCGTGTTTTCTATCTACACTTTTGCTTATTTGTTAACCACTAAGTAATGTTTGACCTTGGTTTATTCATTTTTAACAAACAACAATTACTTTGGGTTATTTTTACAACAAAAGCTATGAAGAAAATATGAACATTTATTCCTAGTTTAATTTCTACAGGAATGCTTGTCATTAAAAGAACTTACTACGACCGCATAATTTTAGTATATTGAATCCTAAAATCCATATCAAGAACTTTACAATTAGTGTTCGTGATGAGAAGCTCTGAAGAGATAAATAGTATTTCTTGATTTAGGCAGTGAAAACATGATTTCCTACTCATGTCAAGTAACGTTCTGTTTGTAAATGTTTTTTTTAAACAACTCAAATTGGCATTTAAAAGTGAATTGTATTGATACTCGAGCTCAGACAAAGACTTTATTGAAATATCGACCACAAACTTCCATAGGATCATGATATTTTTCATTGCTATTTATTTTATCAACGTGTATTAAAAACTCTTGTAACCATGTCATTAAAATCAATTATGTTATCATTCACTATTTCTTTAATCAAATGTGAACAGTTTACCATTCGCAATGAACTTTGTATGGTTATTTGAATTTTTTTTCCATATTTATGATAATCTAAGAAAATGAATAGCTTAATGATTATATCTATCGCTTTTTATACGCTCAATAGACATAAAGAAGTAAAGAAAAAAATATAGACGAGTATTTCTGTATGACCTGTCTATTGTTAATGAAAGTTCAGAACGAACATTACGATTGTCGTAAACAATCGTATATTTGACCTCAGAATTACGACGATGCACTGTCGTATATGACTTCATTTATCATAAAAACAATCCAAACTTTGGTAGACAGAATTTTTTTAGGTTAAAAAGCTAGAAGCAAAAATAGATACAGCTCATCGTAATTATCGTAAGAGTTAAGCAATCGTAGTGCAATCTTTGCTGTTACATCAAAATTATTGATAACTTGTTTGTAATTTTTCTTAAGTAATTTTCGCATCAAACGGATTTCAACTAAAAGATGAAATAACGAAATCAATATTTTCAATTCTTCAATCTATTCGTAGGAAAAATCGATTCTCAAAACCTATAGAAATTAGAGCTATCAGTCTGACCTGATGGTCTATAGATGCCTACCAAGCCGAGTTTTTTCTTGTTGACCTGATTTGCTACTTTTCAGAAAATTTTTGATAAGATCAGGCTACAAAATTTTTTTGTCTGATCTAAGTCTACTTGAAATTTAAGTCATAGTCCACTCAGAACATTAGGTATAGCTATAGGCTGAGTTCTATTTCGAAGAGTTTTAAAACAAAATGATTGAAACAACTCTAAAGTACATTACAATAGGTAGAACAATAAATGTCAGAGAGAGAAAAGAAAGAAGACTAGTTTTAAATTCCAGTTTGACTGCTTTTTATTCAAAGAAAACATGAATTAAGTAATTAAGTCAATTGAACTATTTTGTTTAGTATGTTCCTGCAAGCCGGATCAGGTCACAGGTCAATAGTCCTATTTTGATCAAGCCGAAAAAATGTGGCCTGTTGGCAACTCTGATAGAAATGTTTTTTATTCTGAAAATTGAAAAAGTTAAAACAAATTAAGTTAAATTAGACACAATAAACCAGGTAAAATAGATGCCTTGCAGGCCTACAATTGATTTCAATGTAATAGTATATATATATATATTATAAATGACAATATTATATGATACTTTTGATAAATAAAAATATAACATATATACAAAGAAATATTCAAGCAATAACTTTAACAAAATTCAAAATTTTCTATTGTGTCTAATTGATTGTGATCGATTTTTTCAAAATGATTTTCTTCCGTTGTTTTTAAATTTAAATCACCACTTGTTTTTGTAGTTGCGTTACACAAAAGTGAATCAGAACGACTCAATAAAATTGAATCTGATCCAGTATTCAACATAGGTAGATTTAACTTAGAGCATACATCACTACATACATGTGTACGAAAAAATTGACGCATACCTTTTACACCAAGATTAGTTCGTGTTTCTCGAAAACGTAATAAATCATTGAAATGCAATGCTGGATCAGTCAATAAATAAGCACGTTCTACTTTAACACCTTGTAAATCGACAACCATAAGACGACCCGAAGTAATATG